GGGGGGGGGGGAGGGGTACAATTTTAGCCCCTCCCCAGAAAAAAAGACTTGAAAGCTATTATGCTCTACTTTTAGAATCTACCAAAAAATTAGCAATTTTACAAAAATTGAAATTTTTTTGTGCAAAATTCAGTTATATGGTAAAAATATTTGCAAATTTGTTCTTAAAAAAATGATAAAATACACATTAATGATAAGCCCTTCACCATTCCATTTCAAATTTGCAAAATTTAAATAACCATGTGTAATTAGGAAAAACTAAAAATTTTGAAAATTTCTTTTGACGGGTTGTATGCAAGTAATTTGAATTTTTTTTTCAAAACTTGTGTAATCTGTTTCCTTATTTTATAGGCTTTCCAAAAAGCTAAAAGTTATCCAAATCTGACAACTGAAAATGGGTCAAAACAAAGATTTAGTTTGTTACATGAAAAAGTAGTCATTCACGCAGTTAGTATAAAAGCCCGCGGCTTTAGTCCTAAAAGGAGAGCTTTGGGTATTTAGGAAAAGTTAGAAAATTTCACCAGCCTCATAGACCAATACTTTTTTAGTTTTGTAAAAAACTACAAGGGGTCAATTTGACCCCCCCCCCGCAGGAATAAGTAGGGTTGGGCACTTTTTATGGACCTTCTGTTAACAGTTAGTTCCAGCCGTTAAAAAAGTTAAATTTCAAGTAGCCGTTAATTATACAGTTAAGAACGGCACGTCCGTTTGTTAACAGAATTTACTGTTGTTTTTTTTTAATTATTCTTAGTTAACGTTAAAATTTCATTAATGGAAACGGAAAATTTTAAACAACCATTAACAGCGCCAGTCCTTAACGTTTTATGAAATCGTTAACAGTGCAAAGCAGCAAAAAAATGTTAACTGTTAAATAAATCGTTAACGGCGAAGCCGTTAGTGGTTGAGAAATCGTTAACGGTTAAGAAATTTTTAGCATTTAAGAAACCGTTCTAATCTTAGCATTTAAGCTTTTGAAAACAGAAGACAACATCCTAAACCTTAAAAACATGTTAAACATTTTGTTAACGGTTAAAGAAATCGTTCACAGCGCATCCGTTAACGATCCTTTACAATATTAATGTTGTATGACATCTTTAACCGTAAAGAAATAGTTCTATTCTTAGTATTTAAGCTTTTGAACCGTTAATTTTTTTCAAAAATGGCCAATACGTTCTTTATACGTTTTAAAAATTAATGGTTTTTACCATTTGTTAACGGACACTTCTGTTAATTTTCGAAAAACTCTGTTCCGTTAACGGAACTTTGCCCAACCTTAGGGACAAGGTTTACAATTTACTGGTAAAATTATACCATTGTGTAACAACATTAAATACACTTGAGTAGTGATTCCTATTCCACAGATCTGTGGCTCTTACTGTAAATTAAAATCAAAATATTTTTAGAAAACAGCTTTACATCTGAGAATATAAACTGGCAACAACAGACCAATCACAATCAGTCCGCGGTAGACCACTCAGGAAATCAACCTGGATATCAATCCGGAAATCAACTCGTTGATCAATCTGATGATCAACCTGTAAACCTGTCTGGAGATGAATCGAAAGGTCAATCAGGAGATCAATCCAGTGATCAATCAGGAGATCAATTTGTTGATCTATCTAATGATCAATCTATAAACCTGGCTGGAGATGAATCTGAAGGTCAATCCGGAGATCAATCCAGAGACCCATCCAGTGATCAATCTGTTTTTCAAATCAGATTTCAATCAAGAGATCAATATGGGGATCAATATAGAATTAAATCTGCAGATCTTTCTTTAAATCTGCCAGGAATCAGATCCTGGGATGACTCTGGATCTCAAACCTCAAGGATTATGAAGGAGCCAAAGCACAAAGTATATCCTGGAGCTAGAGTTGAACCTAAAGTTCAGGCTAAACTCGGAGCCTGGATCATCAACCCAAACCCTGAATATGCTAAGGTTAAAAATATTTATTTTATTGATAGTTTTCTGCAGAAACGTTTTTTAGCATCACCTTTAAGCGACAGCTAGCGTAATTTAAAGTAACTCTGATTGCAAAGATGTCAATGCCCGACTCACAACGATACCCTTTACAAATTTGTCTGATAAAACATAAATTAGAAATCCATTTTTTTATTTTTCATTTGCAATTATGGTTTTCCTGCAAATGTGACTGGGTCATGTCTTGCCTATTAGAAACAATGAAGAAGTTATCAGAACTAACCACTTTTCGATTCCGCATTTTTGATCAGATTAAAGTTTCAATAGTACCCTTGCATTGCCTTTTTTGCCTGAAAGTTGAATTTTACGCTTACAGTTCCTTTAACTGTTCATATTTTTCTTTTTATTTTAATGATTATCTACAAAAAAAGTAGTTTTTAATTTCTTATTTCAGGGTTCAGTTGTACCTTAAACTTCAAAGCTGGGGATATAGGTAAACTGAATTTTCAGAAGCAAAGTTGATCCGAGGCCGAATTTAAAGAATTTGAGACGCGGCTTGAATTTGAGACGCGGCTCAAATATGGTTGGTGCCACTGAAAATTGTATTCAATGTTTAAGATTAGATCCGGTGCTCGATTGAAACCGGTTTTTGTTGGACTTGAAACGCGGCTCAAATTCGTTAAATTTGGATTCCGATTTAATAATTTATGGCAAGTTTTTAAAGTTTTGAACTATCCTATAGTGTATTTCCACCGACCAAAACCAAACTTGCTCGTAAATATTTCTGATTTAAAAAGGCAGTTAAACTTCCTTGTAGGATTATTTATATCTGTATAAGGAAGTTCAGCGGATTATTTATATCTGTTTAAGGAAGTTCAGCGGATTATTTATATCTGTATAAGGAAGTTTAGTGGATTATTTAGATCTGTATAAGGAAGTTCAGCGGATTATCTAAATCTGTATAAGTTCGGCGGATTATTTATATCTATATAAGGAAGTTCAGCGGATTATTTATATCTGTATAAGAAAGTTCAGCGGATTATCTATATCTGTATAAGGAAGTTTAGCGGATTATCTATATCTGTATAAGGAAGTTCAGCGGATTATCTATATCATTATAAGTTCGGCGGATTATTTATATCTGTATAAGAAAGTTCAGCGGATTATCTATATCTGTATAAGTTCGGCGGATTATTTATATCTGTATAAGGAAGTTCAGCGGATTATCTATATCTGTATAAGTTCGGCGGATTATTTATATCTGTATAAGGAAGTTAAGCGGATTATCTATATCTGTATAAGTTCGGCGGATTATCTATATCTGTATAAGTTCGGCGGATTATTCATATCTGTATAAGGAAGTTCAGCGGATTATTTATATCTGTATAATGAAGTTCAGCGGATTATTTATATCTGTTTAAGGAAGTTCAGCCTTTGTTTACATCATAACATACATGCTATTCTAGATTAAGTACTGTTGTCAACATTCTTATGGAAGAAAGAAAAAGTTGTAAGGTCGAACAATAGTAGCGTTGTTTGAAAGTACGTTTACAATATAATGTGAAATGACTCAGTACCCTTGAACTGAACAATCAACATTTTCCTCCTCGTTTGGAAAGTCATGCCCGGAAGTTAAGCTGCCTTTTCAAATCAGAAATACTTAATATAAGAAGTTTGCTTTTGGCTGGTGGAAATTCAGTTTTCTTGTTCCTAAAAAAAATAGCGCTAACTATTCTTGAAACCTTGAATGCGCCCATCCATTATGTTACCAAAAAACATCAGCATTGTTTTACATAATTTCTCAGTTAAATCTCAAGTGGTCTTTACGGTTTTAACCAAAGGCTGGGGGACTTAAAATATGTAAAAACAGGGGGGGGGGCGTCTCACTCCCCTCCCCCTCTAGAAAAAGGCCTTAGAATATAGTTATAAGGCTATATGCATATTCATAGCCCAAATTTTTAAGGCCAGCTCATTTGAAAATAAATTAGACCGCTAACTTTAAATACTTTGTGTGAGCTAGAGTTGAACAAAATGCCAAAGCTCGGAAAAAATGTAAAAAACTTTTAGACAAATATGAGACAAATATCAAGATTTGACAGAAGCAACCTGTAACATTAAACACAAAAAAGTTATGGGATATTTTAGATTTTTTACACGCCCTGTACGGTCTGTGCCCTACCCTTTGTTAATTACTATTTCTTTAAAAAAATAATATTTCACTGTGATATTGTCAAAAATGAGATTTCTAGGGCAACAACACAGTGGGGGGAAGGCGTGAATTCCCAGCACCCCTTTAGTCTGTTTTTAGAGGAAAATTTTTCAGTTTTGAACCCTACCCTTTGCATTAAAAAACTATTTTCAAAAACTCATTTAAATTACTATTCCTTAACAGTAAAAATATTTCACGGTGATAGGGCTTGAAAAAAATAACTTCAAAAAATATTTATATTTGTAAATTTAGGTTAGGTTAAGCATTACTAACTGCTGCATTATTGCATATTATCGCTTTTTATTTTTGTTAGGCATAGGTTTTTTGAATTGATGAAAATGCACTTTAAGATTCTTTAAACATATTCAATATTTTTCCTACACAATGCTTAAAATACTAATAACAATCTAGATTTAAAATATATCTATAGAGTAAAGCCATATTATAAGTAAATATACATAATTATGTTGTCTATAGCCGGCCGTCCAAATGGGTAGAGGTGACAAAGGCGAAAACATAATTATATTTTTTTTAAATGTCCAAATAGTTTTAAATTCCACGCGTAACGCCGGGCACTACAGCTACTTTTTAAATAAAAAAGAAAATGTGATAACTGAAATTGTTTTTTGAATTTTTTCTTCTCTTCAAGGTTTCAAATTTCTTATTTTATACGTTACACATTTGTAGACAAAATTTAAATTGTTTTGCATCTGTTGATTTTTGTTTAGAATAATAGCGATAGACTATAGAGGGTTTGGAGACTCGTCAGACATAGGTAAATATAGCATTTTCATTACACTCTTTACTAAAACTTACTGCAATACAGCTCACTGCAGTACAATACAGCCCACTGCAGTACAATACAGCTCACTGCAGTACAATACAGCTCACTGCAGTACAATACAGCTCACTGCAGTACAATACAGCTCACTGCAGTACATTACAGCTCACTGCAGTACAAGACAGCCCACTGCAGTACAATACAGCTCACTGCAGTACAATACACCTCACTGCAGTACAATACAGTTCACTGCAGTACAATACAGCTCACTGCAGTACAATACAGCTCACTGAGTACGCACCAATATCTTAGTTTAGGTTGATTACATGAATTTCCAATCTGGGGTTTTTATACTTTCTGAGGGCTGATGTTTGAAATTTTTTTTTTGTACATGTGTATGTTATCCCTTTCAAACGGGTGTTGGTCTTCATTATAATTGCCCCTTCATTACCTAATAAAATTTGTTTTGCCAGCTTACAGTGAGAACTAGAAAACTGTGGAAAAGGATGCCATTTTAGAAAATATGTGTATTGATACTGTTACAAAGCGAACAGTTTTAGTAGTGACTTATTCAGTGATTTGAATCTGTCATAACTTGAGTCTAAAAGTCGTCTTTCTCTTTTAGAGCTTTTCTAGTTTTCATTGTCAATCAGAGATACATCGACTCAAGTTATGATTTTGAATAATTTAATGAACTGAAAATACAGAAAGTGCATTTTACTTGATTAGTAGAATTTCAGCTACTTGAAAACCATTTAAAACGACACCAGTTACATATTATATATTTTTCCCATCCCACGATTTAATTGATATAACTGCTTGTTATAGGCCAAATAACTGAAGAAAGTACTGTACAAGATGGATCGTCTGATTCACGATGGTTCCCTTTAACCCTTTATCTTATCAATACTTTTAAAGATAGCTTTGCTTTTCTAGTTTGGTAAGTTATTTATTCTAGCTGGTTCTTTCATTGTTTCAGAAACAAAAATCCGCAAATTCTGCGCTCTAAAGAGCTGGATATCTTCTGCATTTTTTATAAAAAAATGTTTGTGGTACGATTGTGATTAGAATATGCCACCATTCTAGAGTGACTTTAACAACAGTACGTCAACTGTCTCTTTAAAAATATATTTTTTATGCCAGCTTTAACCTGGGTTACGGAAAATTTGAACGGAGATCAGCTGATTGTGTGGGGACACTCTATGGGGGCCGCCATTGCTATTCTTACAGGTTGATTAATTATATTATCTTAGAACCTTTTTATGCAAAGGAAAGTTTAGTTTTTAGTTATTGCGAGTATTAGATTTTTGTCTTATAAATGGAAGTCTTGAAAACATATACAAAAAACTCACTTTGTACTATATAAATGTTATTCTCTAAGTTTAAAATGTAAGTTTGTTTATATAAATGTTATTCTCTAATTTTAAAATGTAAGTTTGTTTATATAAATGTTATTCTTTAAGTTTAAAATGTAAGTTTGTTTACATAATGTTATCCTTTTTAGTTTATAAATGTAAGTTTGTTTATATAATATCATTCTTTTAGTTTATCATTGTATGTTTGTTGATATAAATGTTATTCTTGAAGTTTAAAATGTAAGTTTGTCTATATAAATGTTTTTCTATAATTTTAAAATGTAAATTTGTTTATTTAATATCATTCTTTTAGTTTATCATTGTATCTTTGTTTAAGTAATATCATTAATTTTAGTTCATAAATGTAAGTTTGTTTATTTAATATTACTCTTTTCAATTTATAAATGTAAGTTTGTTAATAAAATATCATTCTTATTAGTTCATAAATGTACGTTTGTTTCTATAATATCATTCTTTTTAGTTTATACATATATCATTCATTTTAGTTTATAAAAATGTAAGTTTATTTATATAATATTGTTGATCTTAGTTTTTAAATGTAAGTTTGTTTATATAATATTATTCTTTTAGCTTATAAATGCAAGTTTGTTTATAAAATATCATTCATATTAGTTCAAAATGTAAGTTTGTTTCTATAATATTACTCTTTTTAGTTTATAAATATAGGTTTGTTTCTATGGTATCATTTATTTTTAGTTTATAAATGTAGGTTTGTTTATATATATTTTTACTCTTTTTAGTTTATAAATATAGGTTTGTTTATGTAATATAATAGTATTCTTTGTAGTTTATAAATGTAAGTTTGTTAATATAATATTACTATTTTAGTTTATAAATGTAGGTTTGTTAATATAATATTATAATATTAGTTTATAAATATAGGTTTGTTTATATAATATAATATTACACTTTTTAGTTTATAAATGTAAGTTTGTTAATATAATATTACTATTTTAGTTTATAAATAAAGGTTTCTTTATATAATATAATATTACTCTTTTTATCATATAAATGTAAGTTTGTTTATACATATTTTTAGTCTTTGTAGTTTATTAATGTAAGTTTGTTTATATATATTTATTCTTTTTAGTTTATAAATGGACAATGATGCATAAGTCTAAGGAAAGCTCTTCTAAACTTTTCTTCTCCTAAAATATAAATAAATATATTATTATATTCAGTTTGTTGGCCAAGGAAGTTTTTATACTTGTGCTTTAAAATAAACGGAATTGGGTTTTACAGAAACAAGTTTTAAATCATGAATTTCTCAAAAAAAAATTTCTCATCAAGAATAACTAAGCCTAGTTTCGAGTGCTTTCTAAATAGAATAGACATGTGGACAGAGACAATGTTGGAAATAATTAGAATTAAACACTTTTTAAGCTAGAATAACAGTAAAATGTTCCTCATTTTTGATTAGATATAAATAGAGTTTGAAAGGGCGGCCATAATTCTCTAAAAAAGAGAGTCATTTTAAATTGTAAAAATAGTCCCTTCGATTAAATTTAGAAGATATTTAAAGGTGCTGTTGGAACCTGCGGGTCTAGTGATAGAGTCAGCATACAACAATTTTAACGAACAGATACATCATATGGGAAAACAGGTCAGCAACAGCAAGATTTTATTATTTCTATGTCTTTGCAACTCAATCTCGTGGACCTTTGATATTTAAAGATAACAATTCTTGAAAGGTTTACACAATCAGGTTGAAAAAATAGAAAAAAAATAAAATCATGGTAAAAACTCATTTTCAGTGAATTGTTGTCCAAACTGAAAAAAAAATAATGCAAAGATATAGAAAATAATTAATGTATACTCATGGATACCCTTAATCCTGTTTGCTTAATTTAAATATAAAATATTTACACTTTTGATCTTCTTTTTAATCCTTTCTTTTTGATATCGCTGATGGGTTCTGACCAATGAGAGTTCTTTTTGATATCACTGCTGGGTTCTAACCGATGAGAGTTCTTTTTTATATCACTGCTGGGTTCTGACCAATGAGAGTTCTTTTTGATATCACTGCTGGGTACTAACCAATGATAGTTCTTTTTGATATCACTGCTGAGTTCTGACCAATGAAAGTTCTTTTTCATATCACTGCATTGCTGGGTTCTAACCAATGAGAGTTCTATTTTTGGCTGTGTGAAAAATTCCCGGCTTCTATAATTGGTTTTTCAGTTTATGCAAATAAGACTTTGATTGGATGAATTTTATACAATTCCTGTAAATCAAAATCAAAATAATTAATCTGCAGATTAACAAAAAGAGGAGATCAAGCATTGATCTCGATATCCACAATTAAATAAAGTTTTCAGCTATGAATTTATAACTGTTATACTTATTTTTGGAAATTTCTTCTTGCAGTTAATCTTAACATTCCATAGTTTCTGACAGAATGAATGTTAAAAACATGTTTATTTGTACAAATACTAAATTTTAGTAAAAATTAATTAATATAAAGCATATTATTTTTAGAAATATAGAATATTTTTTAGATATATAGACTTATTTTGTAGAAATATTAAATACTTTATAGAAATATAGAATATTTGCAGAAATATAAATTATTTTGTAGAAATATAGAAAATACTAGGCTTTTAGGGCGCTTTGCGCCCATCTTCTATTTCAATTGTGAGCGTTTTCTCATTGTAAACATTGAAAACCAAAGAAGAAAAGAATATTACAGATTTTATGAAACAAATTCGCGGATTTTCAAGGTTTTTAAAAATTTTACAAAAATTAAATCTTTAAAGCACAAATTTTTCAAATTTTGATCATTCATAAACCTTCTATGGGATCACATGGGGCCCCACACAAAATTTGGACCCGACACTGCAAACTCTGGTTCATTTGAAGTACTAGACTGACTATATAATCTGGATTATTCCATACCATTTTAGCCATCTATAGTCTGGATACCATCCTGTTTTAGCCGTCATAGTCTGGATACGGTCCCGTTTTAGCCGTCTATAGTCTGGATACGGTCCCGTTTTAGCCATCTATAGTCTGGATACCGTCCCGTTTTAGCCGTCTATAGTCTGGATACCGTCCTGTTTTAGCCGTCTATAGTCTGGATACCATTCAGTTTAAGCCGTCTATAGTCTGGATACCGTCCTGTTTTAGCCGTCTATAGTCTGGATACCATCCCGTTTTAGCCGTCTATAGTCTGGATACCGTCCCGTTTTAGCCGTCTATAGTCTGGATACTGTTCAGTTTAAGCCGTCTATAGTCTGGATACGGTCCCGTTTTAGCCGTCTATAGTCTAGATACCGTTCTGTTTTAGCCGTCTATAGTCTGGATACCGTTCAGTTTAAGCCGTCTATAGTCTGGATACGGTCCCGTTTTAGCCGTCTATAGTCTAGATACCGTTCTGTTTTAGCCATCTATAGTCTGGATACCGTTCTGTTTTAGCCGTCTATAGTCTAGATACCATACCATTTTAGTCGTATATGGTCTGGATACCATACCATTTTAGTCGTATATAGTCTGGAGACAGTCCGGTTAAAACCGTATATAGTCAATCCAGTAATTTAAATGAACTGGAGTTTGCAGTGATCTAAAGTTTATATTTCATGTTAAAATTCTCTTTAAATAAACTCCCCCACAAAATCCCCCTCCCCAAAATACAAAACCCCCAACACAAGTTTGTACTTTTTATGTGTTTTAGTTTCCTTGTTCTGTGTTACTGTAGTTGAAAGGTTTACACCGCTAGCACTGCTGCTGCTTTATATTAGAATAAATTGGAAATTGGAAGAAACCACGGGGATAAGTCAGAAACAAAACCAAATTGGTGAAAAGCGTTAGATTACATGGTTAGATTACATGGTTAGATTAAAGGGTTAGATTACAGGGTTAGATTACAGGGTTAGATTACAGGGTTAGATTACAGGGTTAGATTACATGGTTAAATTACAGGGTTAGATTACATGGTTGGATTACAGGGTTAGATTACAGGGTTAGATTACATGGTTAGATTACAGGGTTAGATTACAGGGTTAGATTACACGGTTAGATTACAGGATTAGATTACATGGTTAGATTACACGGTTAGATTACAGGATTAAATTACATGGTTAGATTACAGGGTTAGATTACCGGGTTAGAGTACAGGATTAGATCACATGGTTAGATTACAGGGTTAGATTACAGGGTTAGAGTACAGGGTTAGATTACATGGTTAGATTATAGGGTTAGATTACATGGTTAGATTACATGGTTAGATTACAGGGTTAGATTACAGGGTTAGAGTACAGGGTTAGATTACATGGTTAGATTATAGGGTTAGATTACAGGGTTAGATTATAGGGTTAGATTACAGGGTTAGATTACAGGGTTTGAACCAAGGTTAGAGGAAAGGGCTGATTATCAAAATTTAGTTTTATATTTAAGATAATATTGTCAAACAAAAATTTCACAAGCTCAGTACTCCTACTCTTAGTAAATAACATTAGGTCATAATATGGCACAGTAAAATATGTAAAAAG